TGTATGTACCGGGTGTGTTCAAAAACAAAAGTGAATTTTCAAAATTCCTTGACTAAATGCATTCGATTTTCCAATTTGTCTTTTATCAGGCATTTTGCATTTTTGACAGGTATAACGGCTAGATGTGCTTTCCTGTGCTTTGCGAGTTTTTCTTATCGAACAAAATGGACCAAAGAATCAGTGTAGAAGTTTTGTATGAAAAGTAAAATGAAATGCTCATGAAACTCATTTAAAAAGTTAACTGTGGCATTTTGTGAATCTATTTTGCGCGACACAAATCTTTACAAATGGTACAAGGTCTTCACAGAAGGCCAAGAAAATGGTAATGATGGTGCCTGCGGTCGACGCACGAACACATCAACAACCAATGGAAAGGCTTCAGCAGTGAAGAAAATTGCTGTGGAAAATAGTCGAATCAGTGAGGATGCTCGCATATTGGTTTGGGCAATGCCACGCATTTCATTGGGACGTTTTCGACATGGAAGGTGTGAGAGCGAAGTTTGTCCCGAAACGTAAGTGTATACACCAAAGCCCAAACGCCCGAATAGACACAGAAGAGCCACGACCGAAAAAAGCACGGAAAGTTCGATCAAATGTAAAAATTTTGCCCACTGTTTTCTTCGATTGCAATGGCGTGGTGCATCGTGAGTACTTACCAGAAGTTGGTACGGTCAATAAGGAATATTATCTTGACATTACACGTCGTTTGCGTGTAACAATACGAAAATTACGGCCAGAATTGTGAAGCAACCAGTCATGTTTATTACACCGCGCCTATGCCCCAGTTAACACGTCATTGTTCGCTCCTAAATTCTGGCAAAAACCAACACTGTCATCATGCGTCATGGTACCGTATTCGTCGGACTTGGCCACCAGCTACTTTTTTCTTTCCCCAAAACTGAAAGAACGGAGTTTTGCTACGATTAAGAATATATGAAAACCGCAAACCCGCTGGAAGAGCTCAACACATGCGAAGGGTTTCGAGGATTGGAAAAGGCGGCGGCACAAACGGGATTACTTTGACGCGGACAAAATAGATACTAATGAATAAACATTTTTCGAGATAAATTAAAAAATAATTTTTTTTCTTTTTTCACAGACCTCGTATACAGTCGTCGCCCGCTAAACACGATTAATCTCAAATATCGTATAGAATAAAATATTATCAGGTTAGATATAAAATAAATCAGTGCAATATGTACGATGTCCTGTATCGAAACCAAATCTTCAATTGCAAATTTTTTTTTTTTTTTTAGATTTCGTTTCAAACATACACATAATTAAAAAAAAAGTAACGTTAAATTTTCATAAAAAATAAAAATTAAATCGAGCATTGTAACGAAAAATATATAAATTCACAATATGTTCAAAACACAAGTAAGATCACTATAGTTGGGGAAGGACGATTATTAGATACTCTACACCACTTTGCGCAGTACAGTTATTCACACGCTTTGGTAATAACTCACCAAAAATTACACATTATTTTACTGCAAAGGCATACTTTTCATGACAGCTCGCATGTTCGCAACAATTCCCAAATCATCACAGGGCGTAACCCACCTTTGGCAAGCTTAGTTTACTTCCTAACAATTTTTTGTGTTTTTCAGTTTCAATCATAAAAGACTAGTAATTAGACTTTCTCTCCCTTCAAGAGTTTTCTTATCACGATGATCCTTACGTGCGTGGGCGTACAAAAAATTCATCTTTCCGTTACAGATTCCTTAGCGTTCATTTTTTTGCTACATTACTACCATGGACCAATTTCCATCACAAAATATTGAAAATGAAACCATTTTCAAAAGGTCGTACTAACCATGATAAATTTTGCATAAATTGTGATCCAAGAAACCCATGTGATCCATGTGATTCAAATTTGGTCCCCTTTTGCATTGCCTGAGAATCCTTATTTGCGATGGTATCTCAAACTCGTTAGAATTGTTTTTTATGTCAACTTACTATTGTAATCTAATTTTCACCATCAAATACTAAAAGTTGTTTTCAAGGTTCAAAAAATTGCACGCCTGTACAGCAATTTATCCCAGGAAATGTTAATAAATTGAACCAAGTTCAAACTAAGTTAATGACGATTTAAAAAGACATTTTTTTTTTTTTTGATAAATTGTTTCTATAAAAATTAGTGTTAAGTAGCAACACTGGAGCGTGGCATGTATAATTTGGACACATCACGGCATGCCGTGTAGCTGCGGGTGCTACTTTAAACAAAACAAAAAAAAAAGCCCGAACTACATGTGTATAGCAGGCGAAAGGGGTGAGGGTTTCGAAAATATTGAATTTTGTATAATTGGGGAGTATTTTGATCAAACCTTTCAAGTTTCGATCACAAGTGCAAACAAGTAGCCAAGTAAATCTTTCATTACTAGATAATGTTTTTATTCAGTTATCGACGAAGTTCACATATTCCTCTAGAAAGTCTTGAGTTCTAACGAAAGAAAGAGAATCGTTGAAGTCATGCTGCTGAGCGTTTTGAGAAATTGTGTAAACCGCACTTTGAGCTCTGCTACGTGTTAAGGATACGTTTTTTTTTTTTTTCTTTTTGATCATAATACATTTTTTAGAAATATATTTTTTATTAGTTTGTAATTCCGGAACCATAACGTCGCCTTTCCATTTCTTTGCTTTCTCATTCTCTTTCCCCGTAGATTCTGTACTGAAAGTCGATTTTGCCGCGTCTTGCAAAGTCAAAGCGGCACGAAATTGTATGGTACTGCAGTACGCGCGGCTGCGTGATTAAAATCGAAACCTTTCACTGCTACATTAACGTTTAATTCCTTAATAGAGGTGCTGGCTACTCTCGTACCCATCCAACGGCCTCATACCCATCCAACGGTCGCCACAATACAACTACTGAACTACTAACTACTAAACAACTAAAATATATATATTTGGTAATATACCTTAAAAGATGAACATCAATATTTTCCAAACACCTTTATTAAGAGATTAAGGAAGTTAGAAACACCTCCAGGGATTCGCTTGACGCAGATAATCTTTCCCGACCGCTTAAGAAAGTACTCGAAACTCTTCTAATGGTTTTTTTCCCCATACCGTACGCTGTTCAAAATATTAATTAAGTTGGTAAAAAAACAACAATTTCTCAGAAAAACATGCAGCGGGGCTTGCCCCTTAAACATTAGTAATTTACATATATTAAAAAAAAATTTTAATTTTCATAGAAAATATCCCTTATAAATATTAATATTATTTACAAGTGCTGTACCTTGAAGAATTCAAACAAATTCAGTATTCTTGTGCTGTTCCGACAAGTTTTTTTATCAGACTATTGCCACTGCTAGGCAATCTGAAAAAGTTTCTGAATTTATGAAATTTTCATTGATTGCGGGCGGGTCGTTTTCAAACACGAGCTGCAGTCATTAGTTAAAATGTATATGAGAGAAGTTTCTGCTTATCGCTAGCAAAGAGGGGGACGAACCCTACGATATGGAATCAGAAGAACAATTGAGATATATTTTCTCGTTTGAGCATATTTCATAAGAATTAAAGACTTTTTTTTCTTAATCTTTTTAATAAGGAAAATAAATTTTCCTTCTTAAAAATTTGTAATCACTTCGGACATAATTCGAATTTAAATTCGAAAAATGAAATTAAAAATATTTGTTTTTTAATATTAGAAAGTTTTTAATAAATCAAACTATGGTCACTTTTTTCACATCACTGTATTATTCATACTAAATATATATACAAACAACACAAACAGATCCACAGAATCCAAAAAAAAAAACATTAACATGAAGACAAACAAATTAACAACAAAATCCTACAACAAAAAACAATAACAACAATAATTACAATAAATAGGAAACCAACAAACAAGCGAAAAAACAAAAACACAATAAAATTGAGATAAAACCAGAGATGGATGAATGAGAGAAAACAAATAAAACCGAAACGGCAATAAAAAAAAATAAAAACAAAAGCAACAACAGCGCAACAGAAAATAATATATAGAATAATAAAATATATTGAAAACCAGTAGCAATCGCAGGCATATACGGAAACGTTCGTATATTCACATGTACACACACACACACACACGCCCAAACCCATATACACATGGGCAGTTACACGTACACAAAATCATCCATACACATTGAATATTATAACATATATAAATATAAAAGTTTACAAAAAGTCATAATATATGATAATAATATTTATACTATATAAAGTTTATAAAAAAAATGTCTATTAACACATTTACATAACAGACATTAACGAACAAATATATGTATGCATATATATATATATATGTGTATATATATATACATATATATATATATATATATACAACTAAGCAAACATTTGTACTGCAACAATTATATATGTTTACATAAACACATACATACAACCAAACATACATACAAACGCATATTATCTACATTTTAGTGGAATCATGTAAACTATTTTTAGAGCCTTGAAAAGACAGCAAAACAAATTCAGTAAAATATTAAAAAAAAAAAAAAAAAAACAACCATTTATATATATATATAAATATTATATATATAAATCAAAAAAATATATTATATGCAAAATAAACATAAAAACGAAAAAGAAAAACTCACATATAAATTTATTGAGTTAATGAGAAAGCTGAGGTGGTAAGTAGAAGGGCAACAGAGACGCTTGAGTTTATATATACATACGTGTGCCATTAAAGTTCACTAATCACCAAAAACATGATGCTTGTAACCTCAATTACATAAATCATAAAAATGTATCAAAAGAGAATGACTGAACCTATTATGTATTTGGATCGTTAAAGACAAAATTGTTCCAGCATAGTTAAACTCTCCTATATATAGATATGGACAGAGAATTTTCAGTACATCGGCTAAAGTGTGTTCGTCACACTCTCTGTGAAATGATCAGATAATATTATAACTTTTTCTACTCAATTTATTATATAAGAAGTATTCTTAACCGTAATTAACTTTTAGTTTACGTTTAGTATTTGGTATAAAAAGAACCTTTCATACAGCCTACAACGGATTTCAGTCGTCGGTGAAAATAAGTAACATAGTTTCTTTTCTTGCATTTTGGTAATCCAAAAAAAAAATAAAAAAATAAAAAAATAAAAAAAAAAAACATAGTTTATTCAAATTATATATAATGATGCTTTTGTGCATAATTTTGTCTGTAAGCTGGACAGCGCTTACTAGCGGTAAGTGTATTCATATTCTTAGAATTTAAATACAATCAAATAATTACATGAAAAGTAATAGAAGCTTACATGCAACTGCGGTCAAATTTTTCATAACCACCATCGTCTTTATCTTAAATATAAAAAGCAAAAAAGGAATGAAATTTTTCATACTTCATAACTGGCGACGATTAGTTTTCCCATTTTCGTCCGCAAGAATTTCGAAATCATTCAAAGTATGTACGCGAAAGTTTTCACCATCGTATCTGCAACAGTACGAACGAAGTGATAAGTAGGAAAAAATATTTATTTTTATTAAAAAAAAAAAAAAAATTGTCTCAGTTTATGCTGTTATTACGAGCCCTTATCCCTTAATCAATTGGACTTTTAATATTTCTGTCAAACTTGAGATAAATAATATATTGATTTTTGGCGACCGAACCTATACCTATTAGAGACAAAGGGACAAACGGAGATGGTCAGTTTGATTCAGAATTCTATCAGGAATGGTCGGGAATTTATATAGAAGTAAGTCTCTGTAAGCTTTTGATAAAATTTTATATATATTATATTTTACTTATCACTTCCCGGGGATGGATAGAAAAACTAACATGGAAAAGATGTAGGTAGGAAAGGGAACACACACAACTCTGTTTCTCAATTAAAACATTGTTTTCATAATTGTGATAATGAGCTCTTCTCGACATATGTTATGCTCTCAGGATTGAGATAATATTTGAATATTTGAACCTTCAATTTGAGATTGAAGCTTCTCTAAAACCTTTCGATCCCGTTACATTAAAAAGGAGGCAAATTGATATTCTCTAATAACTCGTGTTATTACACAAAAGAGAAACACCTGGCTTCCCTGAGTCAAATATGTAAAGCCTCTCGAAGTCTTGTAACCAACCTAGGTTTATAGCAATTGTTATATTGAATTTTTGGACGACTCGTGCAATTATTTCGTGCCAACATAGCACAGCATAACATTTCTACTAACCAAGCATTCACATTCTTTTTAAAGGATCTTTGGCACATGCTTTTGCATGATGATATTCCTGTGCCCCTGGCCATGGTAATAGCAGACGCAAAGATTTTATAAAGTGTAGAAAGACGTCAGCAGAATATGCTGTATTCGGCTGTAAAAGAATTAAAATTGGTTTGAAAATTGATAATAATTATCTCTTTGAAAAAGAGGTGGTGTTCTTCCCATTTTCTTACTTTTTTGCTCCACTTTTATATATATGTATATATATATATATATGTATATGTATGCGCTGAGTGGCCGAATACGTAAAACATTCCGAACAACAACTCAATGATCGTAGGTTCAAATCTCAAATACGATAGAGTATTCAATCAAGGCAACCTTTGCCTGCTTGACCGCTCAACGCTTATACATATATATATATGTATACAATATATAGTTCCAAATTGAAAGGAATCCCTTGTTGTTTATGACCAATATCTAAACTAATTATCGCGGTAACTTCTTTTGAACACTTGCATAGATCGACATGCAAAATTTTCAGATTCTCTAAGAGTTTCGCTTAAAACTTTTTCTTTATTCCTACTTTCGAATAATAATATCATTGAGTTGGAAGTTGGGACGAAAAGCAACGTATTACGTGGAATCTGTTTTATCGTTCAGTACAAATGGACCGTGAAATTTAACTCAGTTTTTACCGTCATCCCTATCGTAACGTAACAATAAGATTTTCAGTCAATACCAACTTATGCACAATGTATCATAAAACCATTTACTGTGTAACACTAAGTCTCAGAAAAAAAAAAAAAAAAAAACTGGTTTTATTACACAATAATACTACAAGTTATGCTCTATTAACGAGAATCTTGAAATTGGCAAAGAGTTTCAATAATAATAAAAACTTAAGTTAGTTGATGGACTGGTTTATTAAAAACCATAATTCCATATACAATCGATGAACTAATCAATCAAAAGTGACAACAAATTCAATATTAATTTTATTAACGGCTTGTGTATAAAAAAGCTGTTCTCTTCAAGTGAATTTTATAATCGAAACATTCGAAGGCAAAAAAAAATCATACTCGGCATTGGCCGGATTTTGTAGTACCTATCATTAGCATCTATAAGAGATTTAATTTCCAGATAGAGAGTGTATCTATGCGCTCAATGTAATTGGCGACATTTCGTAGATGGTTACGCAAACTGGCTGAGTAGCCGAATATGTAACAAACGCGATTCTGACTTGGTAAAGAGTTCAAAGGTCCAAATCCCTAGCACTTAAATCGGTTTACTTGGTCGTAGCTTTAGTGAGTGCTCAGTCGGTAAACGCATAATATTTATCGATTGGACTCACATCTGCTAGGGTGCGGTCACCACCTGCCTATTTTCATCGTCTTTCCACTCTTCTTCTCTGGCAGTCATTCGTTTACACGAATAGGAGACATCCCTTTTGTGATGTCGCTACATACTTCGGTAATTAAATATATATGTTTTTTGCGATTTATGGACGGGGCTGCGAGTATATTAGTGGATTCTCCGTCTTCATAGAAAAGTCAGTAAGAATTGTTAATTATTAAGTCGATGCTGGCTACCACGAAGAAATGTAGACGCATTAACGCTATAATCGGGAAACGAAAATTTGTGGATATGAATCATTATACAATTTGTAGGGACCACGAAGAGATTAATGTAACCTATAATATTTAGGACTTTGGAAAAACCTCGTTGGATTGTACTTCCTGAAAGGTCTGTTGGGCACGTAAAAATTCATAAGACCACCTAGGACTGGCGAATTCACGTAGTCTTTTATTATTTTGGTGACGAAGGTCACCAGTGCATTTCTCTTCTTGACTTAGGATATTGGATCATAATCATTCATAGAAAACATTTCCTTTGACATTTTAAAACGACGTTGTTTTCCAAGCAAATTCAAAATTTTTCAAACAAGGCGAGACAAGCCGAAATCATCCTTCAAAATTGTTTGTATTAATCGTTTTGCTATACCCAACAATATCTACAAGGTCTTCTTGAATCAACCAACAGTTGTAAAGACAACTTTTGATGAAAATTCTTTGTTCAACAGATTTTTCCATACTAAAAATTGCCGAATGAGAACGCCATCCTAAGCGCCTACGCTTGATACTAAACGTCTATTGCCCAATATACAGGCCACGGAAGAATATTCCAATATTTGGGTACGAGAGTAATATATAAGCGTTTAGTAATGTAGGAGTCACAGAATTCGCTTGACCGTCTTTTTACCAAGCTCGGGAACGATTTGGCTTTATTGACGGATGGTTCTTGGTATGCATAAATTTAATTGCCACTTTGAATCCAGGCTAGCTTCCAAATCAGTAGGTTAGGTAAAGTTTTCCTGCTAGTATTTTCAACGAAGTAGCTAGAGGGCATTATAGAGGATCAGCAAATGGAATGAAAAGTTTTTGTACCATGAGCACAGGTGAAATGTTTCTACGCTTTGGCACATGTAAATGCATCATTTAAAAATATCGTGAAGAGGAGAAGAGCAAGGCGACTAGCCAGGGGAGCTTGTGCATATGCATGTGGCCAGAAGCACTCGCGCGTATCAATGCGAATAGGATTTAGAAAAAAATTTTTAAAATGCTTTCCGTCAGATAGTTTTGAAAGCACAATTTCGCAGCATCAGAAAAGCCAGGTCTTCTCCATTGGAGGAGAAAGAGCTTTCGAGAAATCTATGGAGATAGCATCCATTTGCATTTGGCTATATTCGGCAAATACTTGAAAAAGTACTCCTTGTCAATTCTAAAAGATTTGTAAAAACCGATCCTACTATAGGTGAACCGCTCCGAGTAACAGCTAATACAGGAGTTAATGTTCGGAAAAACCGTCTGGATACCAACAACTCAAAAGACTTAGACAGTTACCTTCGATTTAAGTCAATAGTTCCCAATATTATCGCTCGGTCCATTTTGATAATGACAGCGAACATCAAAAATGAAAGGAGTGTATATTATTAAATACCGTTATGCGCAAGTAAAACCGCACACGCATAGACAATATAGTATAGTAACACATCAGAGGCCATTTCCATTAGAAATATGTAATTAACGGGACTCTATCGCGTGTGCAAATTTTCAAAAATTTCAATTTTCGACAAAAAAAAGTTATGCGAGACTGATTGTACGTATGTATCGCAAACAATTCGAGTGAAAAAAATGAAAATCATTGTAGCGTTTAAGGTTTTGACGTGTTTTCCTTATCACAATACGTTTTTTTATTATTTTTTTCTTTTAATCCGCCATTCCAGGAGCGTAACGATATCCTGCATAGTTCAAATATTTCTACTCGTTCTTGTTCCTCCAAAACTATATGCTATAACGTGCATGTTTTGCTTATCAAAGACAGAATCGCACGTTATATATTTTGTATATTTCTCTATAGACGGCATAACATAGTCAAGATTAAAAAACCTCATCCCAAAATTTTTAATTTTTTCATGGCGATACCGCTCACGTTTCCACTTAACGGTCGTCGCAATAAAGTTATCCTAGCTTGTTTGCTTGTTTGAAAACTTTCTAAAGGCATGTATTTGATAAGATTAGAAACTCCACATAGGAATGTATCTCTTGAGAAAGACGTTAAAATATCATAGAGAAAATCCAGAAAGGATAGACGAACGGACACGTTGAGATAGACCCAAAAAGTGATTCTCAAACGATTGGGGTAATAACGGATGGATTTAACTCAAGTTGTGTTTCGTGTGGTTTACATCCGCACAAACTTGCGGTATAAAGAACGACGAATAATAAAATTTGCAAGGCTTCCATTAACCCTGAACGATTTTATAGCAACAAAGGCGAATTTTTTACTCTATAATTAGTTCTTTGACAAGGAAATGAAATTTGTTAAACATGAACCATGTCTATTTACATTCTGCAAGCGCCCATCCCCCGAAAAGTATGCTGTTGCATGAGGATAAGGTATAATGTCTGATATTTTAGCATGAAAAGAAATGTAGAATTGTATTAAACAACATGGTGTATGATGTACGGTGTATAACAGTCGGCCTAGTCTGACAAATAACATATTTAGTAGCTTCCATATTTCAATATTTCAGATACTGGGAAACTAATTTGTTGGCGAACCCATCCTTAAATGTATTTTATTTAATTAGAAGATCATGCAGTATGTTTAAGAAGTCGTCAACAATTGAATAGATGTAGTGCTAAGGGTCAATCTTGATCGATTGTTTTGATTTGTATTCTTCTCCTTTTTCTTCTGTTCCCTGTTGAATGGTTTTACGACTACGGTTATCTTTGAAATTTTATTTATTTTTTATATTTGCTTTTCCAAAGGTGGGCGGGTTCGCTCAGGTGGGCGATTGTTATGTCCAGAGCAGTGTGCATTATTATCTGAAAATGCTCTTAATTTTTGGATGTAAGGGGAAACTTTTACGCTCCGGCATTTTTTGTAACCATTTCAACGTATCAAGGGAGCGAAACATTAGACGGGATTGATAATTTACGCGAATTTTTTTATCTCACATACTGATAATGTTGAACCGGATTAATGGATACCAAAATATATATCCTTGTAGGAATTAGGAAAATTTAAGTAGTCCCGAAATGTGTTGCGGCCGGCGCAAAAACGGCTCTTAATGAAAAAGAAATCGTATGCTTAATTTCGATTATGTTGGCGGACGATTATCAATAAAGAGTTTTCCTACTGCTTTCATTTACATTCGTTTCTTTTTTTTTAATTATTTGCCAACATTTGTTATGCTTGCCAGACCGACGTTTATTGTATTAAAAATGTAACACAAACAAGTCGTTATTGTGATTATAGCCGTATATATATATACACTTGTTAGCTTTCTTTGCATGTAACTGCATTCCTTTTTCGTGGTATGGATTTATTTTAATGTCATAATAAAATGTTTGCCTACATTTGTGCACGCCCACATGTATGTGGGTGATTGCATATATATATATATATATATATATATTTGTGTGTGCATATTAATACTTTGCATTTCAATTAAGGAAAAAAAAATTAATTTATATAAGAGTTTATGCAAATATATAAACACATATAATACATAAAAGAGTACGTCCACACATGTACACATACTTACGTGTATGTTAACATATATGTATAGACTTCCTTGCTGATTGTTCTCCATGCTCTTGTTGTTTCCTCTTTTTTTTTTTTTCTTTTTTTTTGTTTTTTTTTCTTCCTACCTTGAGGTTATTAATTTATTGTTTTCCTTACTCATGTGAATATTTTATACAAACACGTAATGCATATACATACGGATTATACAAGTATGTGCATTTATAGCAATGTTTACAAAAATTTAATTGCATGTACGAAGACTTTGCAGTTAAATCTGTTAAAAATCTCACAATTATTTCTTTATTTTTCATTTTAATCGCCAGTATATACGTCCGTAGTAAGTAAGCAGTACACAATTCGTGATTCTTGCTCTCTCACATTTTTTTTGTTCTCTCTTTCATAAGTCCGCTGAAGATGATGTCATAAATAATTACTAAATCAATCATATATTCAGCGGCTAAATAACAAGAAACTTTATGATTTAATTCATCATAAATAATAATAGGACTTAATATCAATGAATGCAAAAACAGATAAACAGATTGCATAAAAGAAAAAGAAAAAAAAAAAAAAAAACTTGAAAAATTCCCAAGTATTTTCAATACTTTTACACATTTAGTGTGAAAAAGCAATGAAACAATTGGCATCAAAGTCCCCAAAATGTGAAAATTCTTTAAGTGGTTTTGGCTTCAGTTCCGAAAAGTCTTGACAATGTTTCAATAAAAAAGCATGTTTTTATATTATATTCGATTAATGTTGTCATACCCATCGCCAAAGGATAAAAGGTGTATTCATTTTGTCTAAACGTTTGCAACGCCCAGGAGCAAGCTTTACATATCCCACAAAGTACATATACACTTGATTAGCATCAAATTTTGAATCGATTACTCTGTCTGTTCGTCTGTGTAATGCCTGTTGTAAACCGTTTCCCTGACCGAAAAAAAAAATCAAGCTATCGACTTCATATTTCGCAGTGACAATGGAACGAGTGAAGTCGGTCGAACAACACGCCTACTGTACATCGTAAAGTGAAGGCTGTTTTTCAAAACCGACAAAAATTTTTACGTATATTCTACACGCGATGCTATAAAAATGGAAGAGTTTGCCACGCCTACTCAGTTTTATGCTGTGTAGTAATATACTTTGTTTTCTTAACTTTTATGACGCGCAGAAGCGCAAGCTTTAAATACCGCTAAGCATGTCAGTCTATTCGTCTTTCCACTTACAACGTTAAATCGGCATAATAAAAAACTGGATCTATATGGCTCTTTTGCGTGTTACAGCCGCATAAATTTTACATATTCTGAAACACAAGAGTATAGCAGGATCGTTTTAAAATTTCAACTTACGTCTAATTAGAAAACTATATACATATTAGTTCTAGGACGAATCTTAATTATCCGTATTAAGACGATCCAGATCAACTTTGAGTTCAATGTATCGATTGTCCTGGTCAAGACGCGCATTGATGGGGCTTGGCTTGTTTGTAAATAACTCTCAAAAGTAATTTGATATTTTCGACAGACATGTTCTTATTCTGTAGTCATCAACGAACATATGAAATTCCTTGCGCAAAGTTTTTGTTATTGAGAATAGACAACTGATGAATGGACGGACGGACACGCATTGCTAGTTGAAAATATATATATATAGATACTACGGGGTCCTTGATGCGGATCTGTTTAAAAGTGAAGTGAGAAATTTCGGATACAAAAGTCTAAACAAAACTATACCACGGTAAGGGGTATAAAATAATAGGTATGAAAATAAATTCTGTAATTTGAAATTGGAAAAATTTTGGATGGACATAGCTTTTGCATTTACATTCATAGGTTATTCATTTCAGTTACTTACAACCTCAGCCGTTCAGTGTACATTAAAGCGTAAAGAGATGGATGACGCTTACGGAACTGCGCTTCTTTCTGTTTCAAATTGGAAAAGAATGCAGCCGAAGCTGCGAAAATGTTTAAGTTGGTTTGCAGTGAAAATACAGTAAGCTATAAAACAGTTGAAAAGTACGAGGTTTGCGTGATTTCGTCTTGAGAACGATAAAATTCGCAACCAGCAAGAGCAAACCAGAAATTAATCTCTTAAGATAGGCTTGCACCTTCTTTCCCCAGTGGTGGGTATTCGCCATACCTTCCTTCATTTTAATTAGCATCCAGTTGCAAATCGATGGCGCCATATTTAACAGATCACGGGTTCTGTAAAGTTAAAGATGTGCGAAAACGGACCAGTGAACTTTTCGCTTCGAAATCAGAAAGTTTCCAAAGTGTGGGCATTAGCGGACTACCCGCTAAGAGGCAATTTTGATTATTAAACTTTCTCACAAATCTTTTTCAATTCAATTTGAATTTTATGAAATGAGTTAAAGAATTTATTTTTACACCTATGAAATTAACATATCCTTGAAATCCTTTTTTCCTTTCTTTTTATTTTAATTAAAGCTGCTCCTTTGCAAAAACTAGAACCAATGCCAGGTTATGTGCCGGTGTACATAAGAGAAGGCGATATTGCCTTAAATGACATCAATCCGGAATTGGCGGAAGCTTTTCATGAGGATAAATTATCAAAGATATCAAGAGAAGTGAGTTTAATTTCATGCTTTCAATGCAAATGAAAAGAGATAGAAATATTCTTTTTTCTTTTTTTTTGTTTAAAGGAAAATAAAAGCGTAAAGCAAATTGAAAATCAACGGGAGGAAAACGTGGAAAATTTTCAAGCTACAGACGAGCTTAAGAATAGGGAAAAGGAACTTAATGCGAGAGAATACGCAGAATTTATAATAACTGAAGGAATAGAAGAACGAAAATCGCATAAGAAAGAAGACATTGCTACCATCGAAGTCATTAAAAGTACTGAGGCAAAACTGAGTGAATCCTTAATTAAGGAAAACTAACATTATTAAATATATATATGTAAATCAAATAAATATATATATGTATATCATAGCAAGCATATAATGTCGAAAATAAATATAATTTTTCTCTTTGCTGGCCTACGATATTTGGCTGTTCAAATCTTGGATTTGTTATTTGAAAATACAATGAAACGATGAAAGGAAAAAGTAATCCCGATTATAAGAAAATCAGTTCAAGAGCTATATGCAATATTGAGATTACGATTGCCTGACCGATGCCTGAGAACGATTAAGAATTTTTACAAAAAGAGAAGTTTGTACAAAAAGCAAGAAAAGATAATTTGCTCAATTCATTCGAAAAATTGTTTGATAGGCGTTTACGTGTTAGTCGACCGGTCAATGCCAATATCTTGAAGCGATTGTAAATTATTAATTTTTTTTATTTCCTTATCCCTTTTTGCCTTGGTTTTTAACTGATTTCCTAAATCAATCGAAAAATACCTCAGCAAAAATGTAATACGAGGCTTACGAACGTTTTTAAGGGGTAACTTTCGTAGATCGTCATAGGTAAGAAGCTGTAATTCCGCCCAAACATTTTCTGATCACTTAAAGATCGTGGATAAGATCTGTTCACATAAACGCTTAGTATGTAGAAGCAATTAAAACAAGCTTAAAACACACTGACATTTTTTTTCAAATTTTCGTCTATATCTTCCGCTCCCCTGAACAGAGTGCAATTAACGATTAAATAGGTGAATTAGCATTTATACATCACTTTACGCTCATTGAGTTCTTACTAACGTTAAGAAATAAGACGTCTATTTATATATGAAAATTCCCAATTGAAAAGCAATTGTTCCCAAGCAAAACTAGATGTCCCTTTATGTAGTATATGCCCAATAAGTCTGGCAAATTGGGCAACAAGTTTTGTTTGGCAGTGGACCCTATAACCTCCCTAACCCTCCTGCCATCAAGCATATTTATACCGTCTTCATTTTTGCAACTGTGACGATTCACAAAATTTACCCGTCAAATGATGTATGCAACATTTAGAAATAACAAAGTGAGCGTATCGCAGAAAACTAGAATAGACTTGTCTACTTGCCGCATCAAATCATTAAAAGCCAATATATAACGACTAAAGATACCTATTGCCTTATGCAGAACTCTTCGGCTTGAAAGCAAAACTCCGCGAAATTGAAGGCAGCCGTAAACTAAGTGTCAGTTACAAGTTTATACAGATTTGAAAGTGAATTTAAACATACCGGGCCAAATGAAAATAGGCTTTAGTGCACTCATATCAGATTCTAGGTTAATGGCATCCACCGGTTTGCTAGAAAACCACCGTTTTAAGATGCAGATCTAGTGTCAATTTCCACTTCCGTATGGCCGACCATTGGCCATTGTTCAATCTGATCACAATCCACGGCCAGCCCAGACATAAAAAAAAACTACATTTTCGTATTCTATAACATTGCATGGGTGCTGATGATGATGATTTTTTCTGTTTTCTGGATGATATGGAAATTTCTATGGCGTACGTGTTGTACTTGAGGGTGAAACAAGCAAACAACACGCACCGTTTTTGTTATATCGACAAATGGACAGTGTAGGCGTGTCCTTTAACTAGTTCGGGTCACTTTCACATTCTTTTGCAAGTTTATAGGCGATGTCTTCAATTTTGCGAACGGACGAAGTTGCGCAGTCCGATAGGTGGACGTGAGAACGTACGGAAACGCCTTCCATGGCGTGCATTCCGAATTTAAGATTAGCCAAGAAATGATGCGTTATCTCTTACGAGATTTTTGAAGCTTGCTTCTATGCGTTATAGAGGTTTTGCAAAACTAATAGTAACTATAACACACCATAAAATTGAGTAGGCGTGTCCGATAGACAGCGCGCATAAAATATACATTCAAATTTTCGTAGATTTATTTGCTATAGTTTATGAAGAAAATGCAAAAAACAAACTTTTAATTTATTTTAAAAAAAGAAAGCTGTTCATGCTCTACGTTGCACTGTAAGCGTGTCCTTCGGCCAATCGCACCCGTTTACAATACCAACCCAGTTGCAAGAACTTGCACTATTTTCGCGAAATTTGAAATCGTTAGGTCCATTTTTGCGGTCAGCGGAATGCTTACAATCGACATTATATAGACCGATAGACGGACATCTACAGAGATGGACAGACAGTCAGATGTCAGAATTTGATTCCGCCCAAGAATGCATATACTTTGTGGGATCTGTGAATTTTCTTTTTGGCCGCTGCGAACGTTTTGAAAAAATGAAATGAAAATATTTTTCACCCTTCGGTGACGGCTACGAAAGGCTGAATTGGATAAAAGCTCAGTTGAACGAAATCAACAGAAGCGAAAAAGATATATTTTAAATCTGTCCAATTACAGAAGTAAACATGTTAATATTTTGCTCATGTATAGCTCATAAATCATTCGTATGTTGTTAATAATGCATTTATAATTAAATTCATTTGTTCGTATACAACGTTCAATGTTCGCAGCATCTGTAATTTCTTTTATACAAATAACCGACCATCTGCGTTGTTGTTAAGTAAATTAAAATATTACCTTTTGACATCGACACTATTAATGCAATAAAACTTAAATATTTACATATAATGTATTCACGCAAACGAATGAATAAATGCATATACATGATTACACTGCTTCTTTTTCACTTTATTTGCTTTTGTTTTTTTTTTTTTTTTTTTTTATATTTTATTGTTTTTATAAACCACAAACGAGCACCTCGCTTAACAAAATAATTTACAATAGCTTTTCAATTTAAAAAGTTTAATAAGAAAATTTCAACTTTGGATATAATTATTTTCATCGCCATTGAGCACATATTCGCTTCGAGGGACCTAAAGAGAATGACGAAGGAATGATATCAACGTTTCGAAAGTGAAAGTACACGAGATGTGCTTAGGAGGAAAAAAGGTGACTTTCTAAATTTCACGGTCTACGTACACTCGATTTTCCGAATTTTTTTCGTTATATTGGTACACATGTCCCCGCCATATGTTCACATTATTCGTCATATTACATATTATATTTAGTTGGTTTTTGACAAAAATATACAGAGAAGAGAATCATCTAGTCACTATTAGAGAAGCTGGTGAGAACGTCCGCATAACGGTGGGTCGGGGCATACAACCTTTTCGAATGTTTTGGTCAGGAAACGTGTGAGAGCCAAGTTTGTTGCGAAAGGCAGATAACTGGTAACGAAAGTGGTGACAATAGAAAGAGCTCAACCAAATATGAACGTTTGGCTCACTATTCTCTTTAATTACAATGGCGCGGTGTATCGCGAGAGCAACAGAGCATTTTAATGGAATGTGCAACAACGATTGGGAAATGACCTAAAACGAACTTGGACTTACACTCTCAACCTCAACCTCAACGTAGAAGAATAGGTGGGGAGATAACACGGTGAAGTTAATTTCTTCCTAACCCAACTTTTCCAACTTACGAGCAGATAATGCATGCGACCTGTGCTAAGGCACAAGCGACGATGTTTTCGTCCGTCCATCTTGCGGCTATTTAACAAAAAAGGTTTTCACATATCTGAAATTAGAAATTACGCTAAATAAATTTCTACCGCTCTTCTTAATGGGCACCGAAAGATGGACAAAAAACATCGATTTTATGTAAAAACATGCCTGCGATATGGAGCCACACAAAGGCGACATCCGAATCCCTAGTCCCAGGCGAGGACTGGAAGGTGGGACGACATAATGAGGATCAAGAATCCATAAGGATGCGCTGCCACTATGTCCTTTAAAAAGAAAACATGTAGCACATCACTTAACAAATTCTTAGGATTGCATATAAATGTCAGCACCGTCGACTTACTTATACAAATTTTAGTTTGTAACAGACTTCGAACGAAATGCTTTAAAAGTTCGTCAGTCGGTTGAGGACTGGTAGTCTGGTATCTAAAAATGATGGGAATTCGTTAACAATCAATACTAATTCTGTATATCACCTTAAGAACTTATTGAATGATTTGTTTAAAAAAAAAAAATGAAAGGTACAAACTTATTGAAAAATTCCCGTCCCCTCTGTGTTCCAGTGTGAGAATGTTATTTTAAAGGTGTAAAGGTTCTTGAGCTTATGCCATTAGACGTTTTCGAAAATCGTGTTTCAAGAAAATCGCCTTCAAGTACGACGCATGTGTAATGTTCGCATACAACTAACGAAGTTCTTGAAAAAGTATTGTGAACATCTCTCCCTCCCCCACAACACTCTTCGATTTCCTTTTTATATTATTCTTGAATGTTTAAAGCATCATTTAATCAGCTAACTGCACATAACGAATGTATATATCATGATGCATCCATCCGTACTTGTCAGACTTCCTCATTAAATTTTATCGTCTGAAATATGTATTTGCCACAATAGTCTATTTTAGAGCTAGTGCATGTCATTTTTTCGAGTTACTCCATTATAACCTAATATCAGATTACACATGCTGTATGTATGAGGAGTATACCTGCCATCAAGTTCATTCAATAATTATTTCGATAAACCAATACCTGAAAATCTTGCATAAAGTATCACACCTACTGATCAAGTCATAATATGAATGGTACGAAGGGAGAATATGATTCTAAGGAACCAAGCCGATCCGAAGTTTGTAAAGTATTTTAAGAAAAAATTGAAATCTTCAAAAATTCTGAAAGCAAATGGATTTCACATCATCATCATCAGGACATGAACTGTAGATCAGTGAGGGAAAAGCCATTCACAACGATATGCAAAGATAGCCATCCTTGGATGCACTATTTGCCCATATTATATTTTGAGAAAAAAGATTTCGGTTCGTTCGTTCGTTCAGTTTTCGTTGTTTATGAAATAATTTACCCGTGACATGTACATTGGCATCACATTTCTTGGGCGAATGCCATCAGCGTCGTTAAAGTACAAGTTTTTATTTATATTAAAATAGAAGGAAACATTACTTGTATGGCATTTATTTAATTG